GACTTGAAAAGAAGTACTATTTCTGCTAGACCATGTAACTTTTGGAGGCAATGATGATATAGCCTGGTGTCCCTTCTTTCGTTAATACTTTATTATCACTCATCGTAGTACTAATGATTATAAATGTATGTTGAACATGATAATGAGTGAAGGATATACAATTTGGAAAAATGGTGGCCTGGGTTCCTTTTCTTTTTGTCAGCCAGTGCCTTATATTGACTGCTATGGTCCACCTCATGGGTTGAGATCCTATTGATTTTTGTGTTTGTATCTGTAGAAGTGAGGCTAAGTGATCAATAAAGCCTGTATTTTTATTGCTGTTGCCACTCACATTATGATTGTCATTATTACTTATTTCCTATCATGACTATAAAGTGCAAACCCTGTTTTGCACTAGTTTCAGACTCTTTTCTTAAGCAGAAGAAAATACCAATTAAACATGATTTGTAATTCTTTTTGCTTTCATGTTAATCATGAAGTTTTCTTTAAAGTGCAGCCACTTGTAGTTTCATAAATTTGCTTGTAAAAAGTGTAATTTTTTTCCTGTTCATCTAACTTTTGCAAAGATTCCTCCCTCCCCCTTAAGATAACAGTAGCTTCTATCAATTATTCGTAGGATATTTATTAATGCTCAAGCTGAGAAGACTGCTTGTCCTGAGATAACTGTCACTTCCAAATGTCACTGACTATATATCATCCTTAGGTTTATTATGGGAACCAGTCTATCATATTTCCCTCCAGACAACAGGTGCTTATACCTAAGGCCACTGAGAGTCCATAATCACATGTATGGAACGAATTGTCCGCAAGCAAAGCTTATGTGCTTTGGCCAATTAGCACTTACAAAAAATTTCCACACCTCAAACTGCTTGGCCAATTAAAGCTCATACAACAGGGTCTGGCACGTATTTAGAGAACCTTTGTTGTTACTCCTCATGTAGGAGACTCTAGGGAGTCAATCCCTGGGAGACTTGTGATGATATGTAATAGAAGTGTCTTGAAGAGACTGTGGAGCATGGATAGACAGACATTCTCTAACCACTTCCAGTCTGTCAACCACGAAGTAAATGGTAGCTTCTTTGATTGACTGCATACTGAACTGAGAATGCCTTTAAAAGGCATCAACCAACTAGAACCTTGGTTATTTTCTTTTGAGCTGCTCTCTCCTTTATTGAGTGTCCAGTGAGAGACAATGTAGAGGTCTTCTCCCCTCTGAGGTTGACATATGGTTATATGAAATGAGTCTTGGTCCTTTGTCTTGATGTTTTTTCTTATATGTTTTGGTCAAAGTACAACCTTGTGAGTTTTGAAAGTTTAAGAGAGCAAGCTTCTGGGAGTCTAGCAACCACCCAAGGTCTGGGAATCTGGGGGTCTGAGACTATTCTGAGTTTTGCAGCCAGTCTGACATAAGCGCCCCAAAAAGTGGGAATGACCTTTGGAAGAGACCTTTGGGATCCAGCCTAGCAGTACCTGAGACAAGGACTCATCTGGTAGCAATACTGCATTTGTATGTGAACTTGGTGGGACTAATGCTGTGTAGGAACTGAGTTAAGTTTGAACCTTCTCCCCTTAGAGACTGAGACAGTATGGGGAGAACGTGATCCCCAAATGCTGGGGGCAAATGTTCATACTCTTGATATTGCTATATTTTTAAAGTAAAATCCCTTTGTAAAAGCTACTTAATATTATGTGGTTAAATGGAACTGGGGGTACATCCATATAACTGGAACCTATCAGGGACACAACAGGTGAGAGGCTGACCTGAGACCAATAGAAAAGAGTTACCACAATCCTTCAGGGTACCCCCTAGGACCTTGAAGAGAAGAAGTAGCAGGCTTTGTTCTAGGATAGTGAGACAATAGCATACTTGCTACACTCAAATATCCTTCAGAACAGTGGTGTCAAACTCAAATCAATGTGCGGGTTACTACATAGTTTATAAGGATTCCTGTGGACTGCATATTGACATACAAGATCATACATTAATATTATCTGTGTTTCAGTGTGTTTTTATTTATTTTGCTAGATGTTTTGCAATTACATTTTGATCTAGTTTGGGCAGCCATCAGGAGTGTGGTGGGCTGTTTGTGGCTCAGGAGGCTAAGCATTTGCCACTTCTACTCCAGAATAGACTGAGAGGCCTCGTTAACAAGGATTGACATCAGAAATGTAGCTCTGTCACTATATAAACAGAAGCAACTTAAACTCAGATACATTGCTGTCAATGATACCTTGCAACCCTCACATGGATTTGGCTATATAGATTTGCAGAATGTATCTTTAAGCTGAAAATACCCAACAAGATATAAAGCATGCTTCAAGTATTCATTACCCATTTGAAATCTGGCTGGATGTAACTCAAGTCTGGAACAGCTTGTACCCTTCAGTGAATTTCACTGGAATACATATGAGTTCTGTGTTGGGTTTTGCTTTAATCTTTTTTTGTGGCAAAGGGGTGATGGTTGCCACAGAACTATTCATTTGTTGAACGTCAGCCACTAAATGTTGGAGGATGGGCAGGGAATCTTTATTACTTCTCTGACTTCTGGAGTTAGTCCCATGAACCTAGAACAGATGGACACCTAAAATATTTCAACAGCACAACCATGAATACTCCTTCAACTAGTGCACTGCCACACCCCTATTCCTTTTGGTCATGTGCAATTCTTATCAACTTCTTTCTACAAATCTTCTATTGAGATATATTCCCAATGTCCTAGAGGACTTTGGTTCTTTTAATATTTCATGGATGCCCAGGACACATACACTGCCTATCTGTTCTATCTATTTGCTAATCTTTTTTTTTTCTGGTCTACATTTCCTTACTGACTTCTCAAATGAGAATCATGCTTGGCCATATGCTATGGAGTCTACTTACAACCACCTTGTATTTCTCATGATCCTTTGAGTCACCTGCAATTTTGATTCTTCTACAGTGGTACTGTACCATGATTTGGAGCCATTTAGAATTGCTGGGAGAATATTATTGTTGTTATTGTTTAGATGTCATTTGTGCCAGGGAACAACTCAGGATGACTCAAAACACTATGTAATTCCCTCCCCCCTGCCCCCCAAATGCAGTGTAGTCAGATTTTGTCCTATTAAATTTTGGATCTAACTTACTGTCCTTATACAATGACTTTACAAGACATAGACATTAATTACCAGCTCAATGGATTTCCCATTCAAATATGTACCATAATATGAACAATATGTGTTCTTTATCCACTTAGATTTTCTGTTTACATTCCTGAACTGATTTTAAATAACCATGGATTTTTATTGAGGAAGCTTCCTACTGTTTGGATGCTTGATGAAATTGACATAATGTAATTGGCAAACAAAAGCATCTAAAAAACCTCAGAATTTATTGAAAAATGTTCATCTATTTGGACTTTTCATAGGAACCCTCTATGATACTGGCAAATTGCCTTGACGATCCAAGTGTCCCCTGCACTTGATATTGATGTAAAAATAGCTATGACTCTAGGCCTACAGGTCCCCAAGCCTTGGGCTCTGATGGAATGGGTCTGATGGTGGTTGACCTCAAAAGATTATATTTTCTTTGGCTCATATGCCCCCACTGAGAATTTTTTCCTGGGAAATCTCCAAACTGTGCCCATACCTGTATTTCCAAGCACTGATGGCATCATATCCATATCAAGTATGGTCCATTCTTTATTTTTCCCCATAGAAAATACATTGACATATGGAAAACACAGAAAGCCCTCACAGTAGTTTGTAATCTTTCCTTAGATGGAAATGAAAGAGTTTGCCAGGAGGGTAATATTACCTTGACACTTCTGTGAGATCCCTTTCTCTCTTAGCTTTCTATAGAATTTCTTCAAGACTTGTAGGGACACCTTATGATTTGGCTTCCTTCTGAGAAGGAAAGCATGTGTTGGGGCTGGTGGAGAGGAAAGCCTTTTTGCATCAGAACTGCACAGCTTGAATAATTCACAGTAACAATGTGGAACAAATCACATGTTTTCTATTTGTCTATCTTGTGGCTTTCGTTCTTTAGAAGTCTTCCCATTCTGAGGGCCAAGTGACTAATGCTTTTCTTTCTCCTTAGTTCTCAGCAATTCTTTGTCTCTTTCTTGAAACTCAGATCCCTGAACTTGTAAACTTGGCAGGGGCGGGGAGGGGTAACTCCTAAGGCAACCTCCAAGGCTGGTGCTGCTCAGGAAATTTCCTTTCTCTTCTAGAATACTAGATTCCAGTATTATGCTGCCTAGGAAATTTTCCTCCTTTTCTTACCACAAGATAGGTGTTCTGCAAATCTGTCCATGAAGTATTCTCTTGGGCAATGCTTTCTGAACTCTTCCCCTCATTCAATTTGGGATGCAGTTCATGTCTGACTCTACCATATGCTTCTGTTTTGTTGTTGTTCAGTCATTTTAGTTATGTCTGATTCTTTGTTACCCTATTTGGGGTTTTCTTGGCAAAGATACTGAAGGGTTTTGCTATTTCCTTTTCCAGCTCATTTTGTAGATGAGGAGATGGAGGCAAACAGGGTTAAGTGACTTGCCCAAGGTCACACAGCTAGTGAGTGTCTGAGGCCAGGTTTGAACTCAGAAAGTTGAGTCTTCCTGACTCCAGGCCTGGCACTATTATCCATGGCACCACCTTAGCTGTCTCTCATAGCTTCTGTCTTATACTAGCTATTAATGGTTACTACTGGTTGGGCAGAGGAGGATGGGCTCAATTCTTCACTATTACCCAGAGGCTGTTGCCATCTCTTGGGTCAGAACTCTTGGTTCTCTCCAGAATCATGTGTTCAGAAAGGGAAACAGAGAAGTAAACAACAGCTAGGAACCCTGAGGTCCAGGAGCTCTTCTCTTGCATGACAGGCAAGCATATGCAGCTCAACCACTATATGCTTCTGATAAAAATCAACCATTAATCAATCAATTAGTTAACATTTATTAAACATCTACTATTTGCCAGATACTGTGCTAAGCACTGGGGAAACAATGAGACAAAAGACAGTCCCTGACCTTAAGGAGCTCACAATCTAGTAGATAGCTTCTGTGGATGGGGATGAGAGAAGCTCCCTTTCCTTCTGTTCCACCCTGAAAGAAAGGCACAAGATAAAAGGAGAAGTTAAAAAGAAGGAAGAATGGAGTGCCTGCTCTCTTTCATTGGCTGACATCAAAAAGGTACCAGGTAATGTGTTGGTAAAATTTAACAACTGGCCCTCCAAAAGAACAAACAGGAACTTGCACCCATGACACAGTTTCAAGTACTATCTGCACTACCAACATTTTCCATTACTTTCTTAAGTCTAGACAACCAACAGCACAGTATTCCAAGCCTTGATTTGTATCCTTTTGCCAATTTCTGAGGCAGAAATGATCAAATTGAAAATTTAACAACTGGAGCAATAGATAGAGTGCTGGGCCTGGAATCAGGAAGACTCATCTTTGTGAGTTCAAATCTGGCCTCAGACACTTACTAGCTGTGTGACCCTGGGCAAGTGACTTGACTATGTCTGCCTCAATTTTCTCATCTGTAAAATGATCTGGAAAAGGAAATATCAAACCACTCCAGTATCTTTGCCAAGAAAACCCCAAATAGGGTCACAAAGAGTTGGACAAGAATGAAATGACTGCACAAGAGCCTGTATGAGCTGACTTCTAGACAACTAAATTGTAGCTTCTGTCACTAAAAGCCATCCCCCATGAAGTTCTAAGAAATGGCTGCAAAGTGACTAATTCATCTTGGGACAATAGTTATTACTGAAACCTAGGAGGGATCTGAGCCTACAAGCATTTATTAAGCACCTACTATATTCCAGGAATTGTGCTAAGGATTGGGGATACAAAGAAAGAAAGAAATAAAAAACCAATCTCAAGGAGCTCACGTTCTAAGGGACGAGACAACATGCAAACAACTGTGTACGAATAAAATATCTAAGGGATAAATTTTACATATACACTACATACATATACACATACATGTGTATATGTATGTAGTGTATGTATAAAGCAGAAAGAAGGCACTAGCATTAAGGAGAATGGAAAAGGTTTCTGGTAGAAAGAGGAATTTAGCTAGGAATTGAAGGAAACCAGGGAAACTGGGAGACAGAGATTAATTCCAAGAGGGAATTATTGGGGCTAGCCAAAGAAAATGAATGGGGCAGGAGATGGAGTGTTTTGTTGGAGGAACAGCAAGGAGTCCAGTGTCACTGGACCAAAGCATAAGTGGATCAGAGTAAAATGCAAAATGACTGGAGAGGCAGGAAGAGGCTTTAAATGTTTTTTTTTAATTTAATTTTTTTTAAAAAGGTCTTTAAAAACCATCAGAAGGTTTTATATTTGAATCTGGAAGTAATGGGAAATCACTTAAGTTTTTGTCCTCTTAACAAGATGTCAGCACAAATGTCCATATTCTCTATGGTGAACTGCTTATAAAATGTTATAAATAAAGGCTTGCTGGACTTCATGACTGTTGGCAAATCATTTAACCTTTCATTGCCTGCTGTGACTTTTTAAGTCAGTAAGATGGAGGGAGGTACTAATCTGACTTCGTGGAGGAAATTTCTCATCTGGGAGTTTCTTATACCAATAGGGTCAAATTAAAAAAGAATCAGATCCCTTCAGGTTACATATGAATTTGGAAACCCAACAATCAACATTATCTATGTTCTATTGTATTTTTATTAATTTTGTTAAACATTTCTCAATTACAGTTTAATCTGGTTCTGTCAGTTTCACCATTTTTTTTTCTCCAGGCTGCATCTGGTTGGGAGTTGGACACCTTTGTCATATACCAATAAAATTATGGGTTCAGTTCCTAGCTCTATAAAATTCAACATAATGGGAATGAACAGTGAAAACTTGTAATTTATTAGAACCTAAGGGAAATTATTAGATTGATCTCTATATTTGCAAAATTTTTTACAGATATTTTATTAGTTACTTCTAACCACCTTATTAGGTAGACTTGTCTTGTTACTGCCAGATTTTAAGAAACTAAGGTTTAGAGAATGTACAAAGCTATTAAAAACCCACAGTAAGTCCCAGATATCCTTCTGTTGTTCAGTGTTTTGAGTTGCGTGGTTACCTTCTACCAACTCTTTGTTTAGGTGAGAAAGGGATGGCACTCATTGCTGAAACTTAAGCCTGAAGTTAGTAAGGTCATTATTTATTAACACCTTGGCTAGAACATCTAAAAAGTGGCAGAATGGACTGGTTTGGATTTTGCTTCCTCTCTGTCTTACCCATTCACTAAAGAATTTCCTAACGGCTAAATGAATGGCCCTGAAGTGGGTAGCAGAAGATAAGTATGGAAGCTGAAACCCCACAAGCCAATTTCTGAATAATGAAAACTTACGAGTTCATAAGGATACTCAATTTTTTATATGAGACCACTAAAAATCCTACTAGTGGAAATCTGAAGTTGTTATTCCTGCACACCCTCTTATGAAAATGTAGCTAGCCGGAATAAAGATTACTGAATAGGGCCCTTAAGGGAGAAAGAAGGGGCCTGAAGTCATTAATGCTGTCCTAGGAAACAGATTTTAAGAGGTAATAATGTGACCACTGTGGAACATGAAAGTTTCTGTTTGTTATGCAATGTGTACATTTCATTATTTACACGATTTCACTAGGTGATTGTGGAGTTGTGTACATAGCAAGTCCTGACTGTAGCACAGTCACAGCCTCTGAGAATAAAATGAAATATAATTATATTACTCATGTCTTTGTACCAAGGTTTTCCATGAAGAACATTTCCCTAAATCATGACCTATTTTCCGTTTTAATTCATTTTTTAAAAGTCACTAAACTGTTTTAACAATTTATAAACTCCTTGGATATACTTTGTTGCCAAAATTTCTACTGTGCATATAAAAATGAAGCACCAGGTAATAAAAATCCTGAAGCAGGAAACAATTTAATTTAAAAATATTTTGAAAATGCCTACTATGTACAAATTGCTTTTTATGCAGTTACAAAACTCTCTTGTTTACCCTTTCCTCTCCTAGAGACAATGGGGGTTTTGGTAAGTATCTGAGGGTAACCCTGTTCTATTTCTCTGATGTGCCAAAGAAATGTTCAAAGCAGTTTCTCATGTAAGTATTAGACCATTCACTTATTCCCTCCTACCCTCCCTCTTCAGGGGTTTATTTCTGAGAAGTAAGAGACAGCACTGTATAGGCGAGAGAGATAGGCTGACTTTGCAGTCACAGGAACTGCATTCAGATTCTGATTCTGTTATTCTCTGTGTTACCTTGGGCTAGTCATTTAAACTTGCAGAGCCTAACGGTTCTACGAGGACTAGGTGACCCCTTAGGTCTCTTTCAGTTCAAGATCTATGATTCTATGATTGACATTTCTCCATTAGTCAATAAACGTTTATAAAGCACCTATTAATAAGTCACTGAGGTGCTACAGCACTTGTTAGCTGTTTTCAAGGTTGGACAGAAGTTTGTTATAGGAGTGTGTGTGTGTGTGTGGGGGGGGACTGAGCCAGGAATCTTTAGGATGGGGGGAAGAATTTCAAATAAAAAAAGAAGAAAAACCCCCTAAGTATTAGAGTGTTCTTTCATTTCAGTCTGTACTGTACCATCACCCCCATGGGATGTTTCCTGATAATCTTTTCCACTTCGAGGGCAAAGAGACTTATTAAGACTTACCTCTTTTGGAATACATGCTCCACCCCTAGTGAATTCGTACTTCTCACTGTTTCTGTCGTCTAGCTTTATGGTTCTAAGTTATATAAAGTAGGACTTTAGACTCACACTCTCATTCTGCAAAACAAACCTCTGGGTCTTGCTGCTACACACATACACACGAACGCGCGCGCACGCATACGAGAGTACTCAAACACAAGCACACACACACACACACACACTCACGCACACACGCACACATTCAGAGCTGGGAAGTTCGTACTGCCTCACTGGTCGCAGAGAACAACAGGCTTTCTAGAAAGTCAGGACCGCCAGCCAGGAGAGAGGAAGGTGCGGACAAGCTGCCCATGGCTGACTTGAGCTTCATTGAAGATTCTGAACCCTACACTGGGAAGGAGGAAGATGATGAAGAAGAAGAGGAGGAGGAGGGTGTGGAGTGGGGTTACGAGGAAGGTAATAGAAAACCCGGCACAGAGTTGGGTTATCGTGGCTGGGAACAAATCTCCTGATAAATGTCCAGGCTATGGAGGTCCGGGCGGTGTTCACCTCCGTGTGGGCTTGGGGTCTTTTAGGCAAGCGGGAGGGGTTGGGGGGTCGGTGGGGCTGGTGGCAGTGTCGAAGAGAGCAGGCACTGGGCAGCCCCGCAGCGCCTAGCGGGGACTGAAGGGTACGCTAGAGGCGAGGTGAGGAGCGCAGCGGCAGCCTCTCCGGCTCTGCTCCCTAGTTCTCTCGCTTGCTTGCTCTGGGCTGAGGTCCTGCCCTTGGTCACTGGGAGAAGGCCCTGAGGGCGCCCGTCCAGCTGGGCTGCCACTAGCTCCTTCCTGGAGTCCCTGCTCCCTTCCCAGAAGGGACCCATCTCCAACCTGTGGCCTGATTTTCATAGTAGTTGCGACCTAATATAATTTTTGAGGATTTGTTGTTGGTAGAAAAGCTTGTCTACATCCGAGAAGAGTTTTTTATCTTTTATCCTTCTGATTTCCTGAATTCTGCCCTCCTCCCCATTGTCTCCTTCTGCCCTTCAAAAACAAAAACAAAAACAAACAACTCACGGTATTTTGTTATTTGGCTATGCTCTCCTCCCATTATCACTGTATAAACTTGATGTATATATATATGTATGTGTATATAAATTTAACCAGGGAGGCACACAGAGACACATATTCTGTAGTTAGCCTAATTTACCTCATCAGCTGTTATTCTTTTTGAACTAAGTTCTCAAGTTTCTGCTAAAAGAAGAAAGCATAGCTGATGAGGGGTATCTAATGACACATACTGTTAATGGAGCCCTATTTCATCAATGTCTAATTTAGACCAATTATTTTGATTTGAGAGCCAGTGTGGCATCATGGCTAAAGAGTGGGACTCGCAGAGGAGTCAGAAAGACCTGTTTTCAAATTCCTCAGACACATTCATTCAGGCTGCGTGACCCAAGGCAAGTCACTTAACCTCTCTCTGACACAGATGACTTTACAAGTATGAGTTGCTGATTTACATCCCTTTAAAAGTTAGGACCTTAAAAGCTAACAAGAACCTAACAAAATTAATGGCTTCAGAGTTATTCAAAACAATTTTAGAGTAATTTTTACTAGACTTTTTGAATATGTTACATTAGTGAAATTTCACATTATATGATGCATCATGATACAACCAGCTCTTTCTGTATATCAGTTTCAAACTGAAAGAGTCAGAAGTGCAGGAAGGCTTTCTTAGAATTTAGTACCCTAACTTTCTTTCTATACATTTATGGCTACTAATATCATTTTGAATTAGTACTGATATATACAATGCTTACATTCACACACTCATAAAATGTATAATTATGTCAGTTTAAAAAAGCACCTAATAATGAATTTGTGTGTGATATATTTTTCACATTTGTACACATGGATACCACATATACATATGTGTATTATATATAAACTCACTAATATCATTTATCCTTTTCCATTTATCTCCACAAGTTGTTTTTTTCTTTTAAGCATTACACCTACATTCTATTTGTCCCACATTAAGCAGTATTGCTATTATGAGTGGTTTGTGATATTTTGGTGTTTCTTGTCACTTTAAGATAGTTTTGCCTTCTTCAAGTCACAAATCACATAATTACATCTACATGGCAAAAATAAAAGTATCATATTGTGCTATAAATAAATTAAATATTTTTTTTGTTTAAAAATTAGTAGTTTGGGTAAAATGGAAACTTTGTACAGTAGCTTTTTCAGAGAATCAACCATTGCTTCAGAATCTAATGAAATGTATTTATCTTTCTTTTACCTGTGTAGAGTTTCATGGCCATGGACCTGTTCATAAAACAAGGATCTTATTGATGGAAGTGTCAGGGTCATAAACAGAAAACATTACTTTGATTTTTGTTTCATACCTTTTATATGTATAAACTACAAAAAAAGATCACTTTGTTTCAACTTGATTATTATTTATTTTGGTCTTAGGAGTTGAGTGGGGCTTGGTATTTCCTGATGCTAATGGAGAATATCAGTCTCCTATCAACTTGAATTCAAGAGAAGCCAGATATGATCCTTCACTGCTGGATATCCGTCTGTCTCCAAATTATGTGGTGTGTCGTGATTGTGAAGTCACCAATGACGGACATACGATTCAGATTGTTCTCAAATCAAAATCAGGTATTTTTAGAAAAATTCCATTTCCTCTGCTCTCATCCTCTAGTAAACCAAATTGTTGTTATTATGACTTACAAAATACTAATTGAAAAGCTTCTATCATAATAATGAGGCAAATAGAATAACATTTCTATATTTTCTGGAAATATACAAAATTTTCTTATGCATTATATTTCCTTTTCCTCCACCCACCTCCAAAGTTGCAAAGCTTTGTCAAAAACTATTGTTTACACTAGGTTAAATGTGTGTTTGTGTATATATGCATACATATACATATATACATACAAATATGCACATATTTGCACATATATGTATATATGTGGTTTTTATGGAATATTTTTAAAAGAGAGTCATAGGAATCATGAGATTGTCAGATGATAGGTTTAGAGCTGGGAGGGACCTTGGAGGACATATAATGCAACTTCCTTCTTTCATTGATGGAACGAACCTGAGGCACAGAGAGAGGTTGAGTAACTTGCCTAAAGTTCCACAAGGAATAAACGGTACAGCTGGAATTTGAATCCAGCTAATTTAGCATCTTTCTACTATACCACACTCAGAATGATGTCAGGTAGGTTGTTCTGTATTGTGTGATAAAACATACATATGACAAAGGCTGTAGTTTGGAAAATTGTAGGTCCTCAGGAAAGAGTTACAAAATCCATACATTATCCTGAATTATCTCACCAGGGTAATTTTATTAGGAAATTGCTGTATCTTCAATGACGTGGCATGACGGATACAGTGCTGGGCCTGGAGTCAAGAAGACTCATCTTCCTGAGTTCAAATCCAGCGTCAGCCACCTACTAGCTGTGTGACCCTGTTTGCCTCAGTTCCTCATGTATAAAATGAGCTGGAGAAGGACATGAGAAAACACTCCAATATCTTTGCCAAGGAAACCTCACATGGGTTCATAAAAAATAGGACATTACTGAACAACAGTTACAAAATCTTTCACGTTACACAGGAAGGTTAAATTAACAGTCCTCATATATAAAGTGGAAGGATTGACTGAATGACCGCTGAATAACTTTAACTTTGCCAAGTTAGTGCCTTTTGCACTACATTGTATAAAGTCCCTTACATCTTTAAATGTTATGATCCTATGATCTTGTGACTTGAAATTTGTTCAGAATATTTTTCTTAGTTGATTAGAATTTTTTTAGGGGAAATGTTCAGACCATGTGATTCATAGAGAATTCCCAGAGAGGCAAGTCCCTCTGCTAAATGCAGATCAACTGCTGCTCTTTGATTTATAATTCCCTTGAGAGTTGCTTTGGGCTCCTGAGAATGTTAAATAAAACATTCACTCCCCCTACCCCCAGGGTTAATATTATAATATTAAGACAAGCAGTAGGAAACCTGTGGCCTTGAGACCACATGAGGCCCTCTAGGTTCTCAAGTGTGGCCCTTTGACTGAATCAAAGGTCTCAAGTCCACAGGTTCCTCACCCTTGATTAAGACCATTGCCCAGCACATGGCCAGGTTGAGTGACCTGTCCACACAGGGGTCACACAGACAGCATGTGTTAGAGATGGGACTTGAAGCCACCTCTTTTTGTCTTTGAGTGTGGCTCTCTATTCACCACACAACACAGTGTTTCTCTTGCTTACTACACTAAGAAAAGTTGGAACACACACACACACACACACACACACACACACACACACACAAAACACATTGACCTTTCCTGGAAAGCACTTGGGGAAATGTGGAAAATTAGAATACATTTGAATTACATAAGGTGCCTGACAAGCAGTGCCTAAATGTGCTTAAATTAATTCAGAATCAATACATGTGATATTTCAAACTACAGATTCCTTAGATTTATCATTACCCAGTTCAAGCACTGATTTCTAACTATAGATTAGTCATTAATTATGGATGGTTTTGAACCTTAATCTAGAATTAATATTCCATCAGGGAATTGTAGATTCATGCTTGTCCAAATTTGGTCAAGGTACATACATTATACTCAGTGTAATATGGATTTTTGTGTTGATAAACAAAAGATCCTGTTTGATTACCTTGCTCATATCTCAGATGCAATTCTGAACTCAATCCATAATCCAGATTATTTTGCCTGTGACTATAATAGGCATTTCAAATTTACTAGAATGGGGTTGAATGCTAGTTTTTCTTGTGTGGATGATGTGTTTTAGGAAATAAAAAAAGAACTTGACTATGCCCTGAATGCTGATATACTGCTAAATTACTAGAATAAAGGTTGTGTTAAGACAGGGATCAATTAATTCTTTTGTTTCAAAAGGCATACCTGTTCATTGTGGTTCAGTTATTTCAATTGTGTCTGACTCTGTGACCCCATTTGAAGTTTTCTTGATGAAGACACCAGTGTGGTTTGCCATTTCCTTTTCCAGCTCATTTTACAGATGAGGAAAATGAAGCAAACAGGGTTAAGTGAGTTGCCCAGGGTCACACAGCTAGTAAATTTCTGAGGCCAGATTTGAACTCAGGAAGTTGAGTCTTCCTGACTTCCAGGCCCAGCACTCTATCCATTGTACCACCTAGCTGCCCCCAAATTATGCCTTCATTGGCCAGTTTGATTCAACACATATTCGTTAAGTGCTATTTGTCTACACTAAATACAAAAAAGATATGTTCCCCCCCCCCAAAAAAAAGGCATTTGACACTGTCCTTGCCTTCAGGGAGTTTACAAGCTCGTAGAGGTGGTGGTGGTAGTGGTGAATAGCAAAGATTGTACACTTGAAACAATGGAAAATAAATGTAAAATATTATAAAATGAAATACTAAGTTAGAGGTCATAAAGGTCTTCCTCTGCCAAGGAAAGGGATTTTACTTTATGCTGTGGGGGGTGGGGTGAGAAGGAAGGAGAAACTGTGGGTATATGTTTGGATAGGGAAAAGGATGGCTTAGGTCTTAAGAGGAAGCATGGCTAAAGCTCTTAGTTATTGTGGGCCACATGAGACACTGATCAATCAGGATTTTGGTGTGGGAGGTGGGAGGAACTCTGGAACTGAAAAGTTAAAATTTTTTTAAGGACTAGGTCACATAGTTGATAGAGCATAGAGCATGGAGGCAGGAAGATCTGAGTTCAAATCCAGCCTCAGACACTTATTAGTTGTGTGACCCTGGAAAAGTCAAGTTCTTTGAATTCTTACTGAATGTCCTGGGGATATTTAGCCTTGAATAGAAAAGAGTTAGGAGCAGCTAGGTGGTACAATGGATAGAGCATTTGGCTTGGAGTCAGGATTCAAATTCAAATGAAAAACCATTCCAGTATCTTTGCCAAGAAAACCCCATGGACATTCAGACATGATTGAACAACAAAAGAGAAAAAATTAGTGTATGGATGGTATTGGTAAGCTGGAAAATATCTGGAGGAAGATAGCTTTTTTTCAAGTATTTGAAGTTATACGGTTGGTCACTGCATTGATTAAATTGTTAATTCTTTCGGAGTTGTTCATTTTTACAATGTTGTTATAGAATAAATTGTTCACAGGTTTTTGTTTTTATTTTATCATGGGAGAGGAAATAAATGCTTATTAATAGAAAATATTTATTTTTAAAAATTTTATTTAATTTTTATTTTTCTTAGTATTTAATTTTTATTATCATATGTAATGACACATTTTAACATTCATTTAAGAATTTTGAATTCCAAATTTTTGCCTTCCCTCCCTTTCTCCTTCCCTAAGATGGTAAGCAATTTGATATAGGTTATATATGTACAATCACGTAAGACATATTTCTATATTAGTCGTATTGTGAAAGAAGAAACTGACCAAAAAGGAAAAAAACTGTGAAAAAATAAAGAAAGTGAAAATAGTATGCTTTGATCTGCATTCAGACTCGGTTAGTTCTTTCTCTGGATTTGAATAGCAGTTGGAAAAAATAACTAAAAAACGCCCCAAACTTGTTATGTAGAAAAGGGATTAGATTTGTTCTGCTTGGCTCCAGGGGGAAGAACTAAGTAGAAGAAAAGAGAGAGATTTAGGCTTATTTAAAGGAAGACTTCCTACATGGGAGGTAATGGGTTTATCCCAACCAGCAGAATTCAATGGAGGCTGTGCAACCACTTGTCAGTGATTCACATATGGGTTGGATCAGTTCACCTCTGAGGTCCCTTTCAAATCTGGGATGCTGTTTTTCTCTAATGATTTCAGCTTTGGACATACTGAGTTTGAGGGAGTGGTAGGTATTCCAGGTACTAGTCTCCAAAAGCAGTTAGAGATATGGGACAGAAAATTATTCAGTCCTCTAAATGAGAAGTTAAAAGTGAGATTTGGAAGTTATTAAAGCTATAGTAATAGATGAATTCACAGAAGGAGAGATCATAGGGCAAAGTAACAAGAGGTTAACTACTAAACCTTGTGGGATACCTAGAGTTAGGAGATTTAAGAAAAAAGTAGAGCCTCAGGGGAGTCAATGAAGACTGAGGTGGATAAATAAAAGGAAAATTAGGATTCTGTAGTGGTATGGTAATTGGGAGATAAAGATATTGCAAGAATGTGGGAATAGTTAATGTCAAGTACAGTGAGAGGGTCTAGAGCAGGGGTTTTTAACCTTTTTTATATGGTAGGCCCCTTTGGACATCTGGTGAAACCTAAATAGTTCAGAATGATGTTTTTAAAAACAAACTCAAATACAGAGAAAATAAAAGAAACAAATTGCATTGAAATACAGTTATTAAATTATTTTTTAAAAAGTTCACAGGCACCAGGTTAAGAACTACTGATCTAGAGAATGTTGAACTAATTAAGAACTGGTACTGAAGTAGAACTGATGGAAACCTTGGCGGGTTAGTGACGGTTCCATCTCAGAATTTTTGAAAGAGAAAAGGAATACCTGGTATGGAATACACGAATCTGAGAGCTCAGGAGAGTGACTAAAGCTAGATTAAGTAGGTCTGGGAGTCAAATACATATAGATGATAATTGGACTCATGAAACTTGATAAAATCACCAAAGATAGTATAGAATGGAAAGAGAATAGAGCTTGGAACAGAACTTGGGGTATACTCA